ACACACACACACACACACACACAAACACACACACACACACACACACACACACACGCGACAGTGTATACTTCCATGGCTAGCGGAAGATTCATTCGATTTTGCTCATCCAACCGATGGAAGTAGCGCGAGGCTAGCCGCGCGGTTGGAGACTTACCTGATCTCTCTCTCTCTCTCTCTCTCTCTCTCTCTCTCTCTCTCTCTCTCTCTCTCTCTCTATTTCGCTGTCTCTCTCTCTCTCTCTCTCACACACACACACACACACACACACACACACACACACACCCGACATTGTATATTTCCATGTCTAGCGAAAAATTCATTCAATTTTGCTCATCTATCGTTTGTCTGTTAAGTGTAACCCTGTAACGAAAACGCTGGAGGGCCGTTCGAGCGGCCCTCAGTCGTTCGTTCTTTGTTTTTTTCCTTTTTGTTTTTTTTTTTTTTTTTTTTTTTTTTTTCCCCCCCCCTCGGCGCGCACTCCAGCTAGGCTCAAGAAGGTCGTCGGGAGTTGCTACCCCGATGCAACGCCCCCTACAAGCCTCCCCTTCACGGTTGACGCTCTGCACATTCAAGTTCAGAGCGTTTACCCTCGTTCATTGAACGCGCGTTCAACAACATAATGGGAAACGCTCGTTCAATGAACGCGCGACAACAAACGTGACATGTGCCCCGGTTCTCCACCTACCCGATTTTGATCGTTCTTTTATCCTTACCACCATCATACTTTTCAGTAGGAGAAGTGTTTTTTCTGATTTTCCGCTCCTCTACTGATTCCTCGCATCCTCGCATCCCTCGCTTCCCACCCCTACCCCTACCACTGCTTCTCGCCTGACGCCTACTCGCCCAGCTACTGACGAGCCTTCTATTGACTATTCTCCTACCATCGCTGAGGAAGGCTATGTGTCCGAAATCAGATTCAACGGGGGTTTTGAGTTGAACGGTTCAACTCCCGTTCAGCTCCCGTTTCAACTCCACGTTAAACCGAGTTGGACGTGGTACAACTCGGTCCGCAGATTTTTTTTTGGCACGCAAAACATAAGTGAAAAAAAATTTAAAAAATATGGGGGTGTTTTTTTTTTTGCTTTCTACATCCCCATAGGTTTTTTTTTTTTTTACATTAAAATTATTTTTTTTAAAATAAAAAACAAAACTAGACTCAAAACAGATAGATTGTTTTTTCTTTTTTTTTTGATTGATCGATTGATTGGTGGGGGATGGGTCGCCCCTCCCACCCCCACCCAATCACACACACACACACACACACGCACACATACACACACACACACATACACACACACACACACACACACTCACTTTCTTTCGCCCAAGTTGCGCGGGCGGGGACCCCGCGCAACTTCAGCGCAAGTGAGTGTGTGTGTGTGTGTGTGTGTGTGTG